CCACTTTGACTGTGAGCCTGGAGTTCTTGGAGTTGGGCACACAGAAGAGGAACAGAATGGTACCATGGAAGATGGTGATAGCTGTCAGGTGGGAGGCACAGGTGGAGAAGGCTTTGCGGCGTCCACTGGCTGAATTCATCCTCAAAATGGTGACAACAATGAACAGGTAAGACAAGAGAATGAGCAGGAGTGTGCTGACCGCATTAAATGTGGTAAAAATGAATAGCAGTAGCTGGGTCTCTTGTGTGTTAGAACAAGAGAGGGCGAGCAAAGAAGAAAATTCACAGAAGAAGTGGTCAATTGTGTTGACACCAACAAAAGACAATTGTGCAAGAGAACATGTCAGTGTCACAGAGCACGTGAAGCCCCATGCATAGGATCCCACCACCAGAGTGAGACAGAGCTTCTGGGACATGGTTACTGTGTAGAGCAAGGGGTTACAGATGGCCACAAACCTATCATAGGCCATCACCACCAATAAAAACGCTTCAGTTACCACAAAAGCACAAAATAAAAAGTACTGGATTATACACTCTAAAAAGGAAATGGTTCTGTCTTTTGCAAGTAGGTTCACCAACATCTTGAGAGCAATGATGGAGGAGTAGCAGAAATCCACAAAGGAGAGGTGTCTGAGGAAGAAGTACATGGGGGTGTGCAGTTTGGGGTTAATTCTGATTATGAGGATCATGCCGATATTCCCCACCACAGTAATGCTGTAGACTGTGAGAAATATCAAGAAGAAGGGAACTTTCAGTTCTGAGTATTCTGAGAAGCCCAAGAGAATGAACGTGGCACTGCTGTTTTCTCCACCTGGTGGTAACATTGTTTCCACTTTTAGAACTTGAAAGTTATTCCTGAAACCACAAAAGGAGATAGTGGTTAGGTAGGAAGCTTAATTTATTCCCTTATGAAGACTGGAGACTGAAGCAAAATAGGTCTCTCAGCATCTGGGTGTTTATCACAAGCAATATTTAATAAGTATCAAGACACAAATTAGTGGCGATATCAAAATCGTAAAAATTTTCTTAAGGAAAAACTCAAAATTAAAATTCTTCATATTTTGTTCTGAGTAAGGAAGATGAATTGAATTTGATTATTTTTCATTTATCATACACACAATTACTTTATTCCTCAGTATGTGCTATTCATTCAAAAAGATAGGACTGACATTATTACAATGACTTATTATCCATACATGATAATTTGTAATAAAAACTTGACATTTCTAAACCAAAAACTAATCACATTTCACACAGTTGAAATACCAATAGTGCTAACAATTCATGTTTTGTCTTTTAGCTTAATCCTTCATTCACGTTTTTCTGTTGTTTGTGTGATCCAGTAAATTTGTAAACAAAGTACAACCTAATTTTTTTATGCAGTTCACTTCAGACAGTTCTAATAAGTCATCGTCCCACACATTCAGAAGAATAAGAAAATTAGAACAACATAGAATAATGTTTTTATCTCTTTGTAGAAGTGTTTACAGAATTCATTTCGGAATACTTGTACTTTCTCACTACCATGCAGACAGATAAGTATGTACACTCATAGCTATGTCTCTGACCCTCACACTCCTTAACAATTATCCATTCAACTACACCAGAACGGTTCATTTTCTAGGACTAGATAATGACATATATCATTTGGTTAATTATCATTTTATCAAATTTCAGTAATTCTCTTAAGGTTAGAAAATTATTGAAAATGCAGTAATTTTAGTGGGCATGAAAAACAAGTGTGCCAGGGAATATCGCCAGGAAGAAACACAAGAGAATGGATTTGAGATGAGTTATCTCATCCAGGATTAAATGAAAATTTTCATAAAGATGGACAGAAACATCACATTTATATTTTTTAAATATTTTATCTATTTTCATGTTTATAAGTGGTTTCTTGCATGTATGTAAGTGCACCTCGTGTGGGCCTGCAGAGACCAGAAGGCATCAGATCTCCTGAAACTGGAGTTAAAGCTGGGTGTCCATGACAGTGTGGGTGCCTGGAAATGAATCTATGTCCTCTGGAATTAGAGCAAGTATGTAGACCAGGCTGGCCTTGAACTCACAGAGATCTGTCTGCCTCTGCCTCCTGAGTGCTGGGACTAAAGGCATGCTCCAAGCTTCACATTTCTAAGACAGTCTGTCTGTTAGCCTTTTGCTCATTTTCTTTCCCTGTATCACTATCTGTCTATTCTCACTTTAAGAGTTTTAGAATACTCATTCTGGCACTAAATTGCCTGAGAAGGAGAAGGGAAAAAAAACTTTAAGCAATACATGGAAGTATTTCATGTAAAAAAATAAATAAATAAATAAATAATAATAATAAATTATTTATTATTATTTTCTATATTATTTTCTAGTTGTTCAAACCACAGATCAGTCCATACCCATGATATATTTTAATAATTTCTGGTAATGGTTTCTCTGCTGACACAGTCAAAGATATAATTCTGATAAACCATTGAGAATGATATAAAAATAAATTTAAAAATAAGATGTTCAATTGCCCTGTTCTCTTTACTCATGAATTTAATTATTACATGCAACTTCAAGCCAAGAATTATAATAAAACACTATTATTCATAATACAATTCACTTTTTTTAAAGCAATAGAATTTCATGTAATCCAATGTCTTCTAGAATATAATGAATCCAGTGATCAAACAGTGTTTGTATTGCTGGCAAACATTTAATTATCTTCCTTGTAGATTTTTCCCATCTAATTTGTTGACTTGCTTCCATGGGTGTTGCCCTGTGTTATAATCCTAAAGGAAACTGGTGCCTTTTGATTTTCTTTCTAGAATAGATTGTTTTGTCTCCTTTACAAAATTAACATAGAGAATAAAAGGCTTCCTTAAGGCTTTTCCAGTCACACTTTGTTTTGGTTTCTTCTTCCCTGCTCTCCTTCCCTGGCTCCCCGCTGCTTATACCCTATACTCCCTTTCCATTTTCTTGTCACGTGTTCTGTCTCCTTCTACACTCATCCTTTAAACCTCTTAATTCTCCTCAGTTTTTTTTTAATTACATATTTTATATGGTCTATGATTCCCTGACTTGTAGGAGCTAAAGAGCACACACTTCTCAAATTCTCAATTCTTTCTGTTCCCATAACCCAGTTGCCTCTTTCTCATCAGACTTATCCTGTGGAGCTTAGCTGAGCCCTCTCATACAAACCTGCTCAGAAAGATCTCACTTCCTCCTTTATTCTCATTTACAAGTTTGTCAAAGCCTGTGTAGCCATAAGGGGATCAGTTTCTCCCTCCCAAATGTATTTACTGATTGAGGCAAATTTAATATTTCTTTCAAATCTTCACACTTCTCACACACAAAAAATTAGGGTGTCTTCTCTCTAGGATGAGTAAATATATTATTACGTTTGTTTACAGCCATGAGGGAAGCAAACCCTAGGGGCAATCTACCCCATTCTCTTGAGGTCATGGAACAGGGAGTAGAAACTAATCACCTTGTATGATGTAATGATTTTGTAAGTCACAGCTTGTCAACTTTGATGTAATTATTTATTTGGAATTTCTTGGGTTTTAGGGCTGATCATCTTGACTCCTACTCTCACTATTATGAAATTAATAGTAATAATATTAATATAGGTGGGCATAGTGTCACGTGCCTTTAGTCCCAGCACTTGGGAGACAGACAGAAGCAGATCTCTGTGAAATTAAGAACAGCCGGTCTGCATAGTTAGTTCAAGGCCAGATGGGGCCAGAGAGAAAACCTGTATCATAAAACCACAACACAGCATCAATAAAAATTATAACAATTTTAGAGGAAGGATCTTGCTCTGTAGCCTAGACATGCCTTAAAATCAGGATGCATCTACTTCACTCCAGACAAGTGCTAAGTGGTGCTGGGTTTGAAGCAATCATCAACACACCTTTGTTACTTCTCTCCACACCTCTTGGTGTGTGCACTCACACTCTCAGGTTTACATAAGATACTTAATTTTCAGTACATTTTGTTCCTGAATTAGAAAGAGGCTGCCTGCATTTCAACATCTTCAAAAACAACTGCCTTTGTTCTGTCCTGCATTTGTAACTAAACTGTTTTCCCAAGGATTGTAACTTGATTTTTAAAAATTATTTAATTGATTTTTTTTGAATTTCAATGTTATGATTCTAGGTTGAATGTGGCCATTTTCATACAAAATTTACTGTATTCTGAGCGTAGTCTCCCATCCCCCACTGTCTTCTCCTTCCATGTCAGGATCCTAAGAGCTCCATCTTTTCCTGTAGACAGTCTGCCTTGTAATTTTATATCATATGTACACACATGATTCTATGTATCTATAAAAAAAATCTAGGACCCACCACAAAAAATCTTACACTTTATCAGATAATTTGTGACATTTCAATGTATATATGGAACTTGCAAAGAACAGGGCAATTTACCTTTTTTGTGCTGTAAACATTCAAAACCTGTCTCTCCTACCTACTGTGAAATGCTCATTCAATGTCCAGTCATAGTTACCTTACTCTGCTTGGGAATGAGACTATTATGTTTGAGGAACAAATGCACAGCTTGCAATATTAGTGCTACAGATCTAGATAGAGATGTGAGGATTTTTTATTTTTGTTTGTTTTCACTGGACAGGTACACGCTTCGTTAGCTTCTATTCTTTTAGTCTGTCCTTGTCATGGAAAACCCTATCATGTCCTTATATTTCATTATTATTTGGGCAATATGGAAAGAATGATTAAAGAATTGTGTGAGATGAATAACATGCTTCTTAAAAATCAATAAAATCTATTTTAGAAGAAGGTTTCCTGGGGGAGATATATGAAAATATTAAAGACCAATATGAATGGGACAAAGTAAATAGTATTAGGTTTATGAAAGTAAATAGTATTAGGTTCACTTCCCATAAAAGACTGCAGGGTGGAGCAAAACAGCTTTGTAGGAAACTTGAGATTTATAATCCCAGATAGATAGCAGGCCTAAAATTTATTTATAATGAATGCATCCATTTGTAAAAATTCTGTTAAATTTATTTAAGAAAAGTATAATCATTGCATTAAAATTTAATTCAAAGTTTCAGGTGATTTATAGGAAAGGTGATTAAAATTTTCTTAAATTATTTACACGACTAATTCATTTGCCTTTAAACTATTAAATTATGTAAATTCATAAACAATATGCCAATCCAGTAGTAAGTAATGCAAATCAGAAATATACGAATTAGTATATTATCATAATTTTTCGTATTGGCAATATGGACACACTATACTCCAGAGAAAAGCTATGAGGTCAGGAAATGGGCAGAAAGGTGAGAGTCCCTCTAAGGAATCCCTGAGCAGGTGATGAACGAATTGGTAAGATTGATACCCAAGGTGCAATGCAGACCACAGCATTGATATAGGATTGTTGGACATCTACAAGTGAAAGCTTCATGCACCAACTTGTGCCAGCCTTGGAGAGAGGTCTTCAAACATGGGGGCTAAAATGTGGGCTTTCACATGTTTGATGGAATTCAGAGGACACCATGCAGATTCCCAGGATGCTGGACATGGAACTTTCTGGCTTCTGTTTGACCTGTTCAATTTTAGTTTTGTATTTGTGATATCTCTCCTTCCAGGTTTTGATTCCTCCCTTTGGAATAAGAATGCTTAGTTTTATTTTGTTCCGTTGAATGTTACAACATGGAAAAAACAATCGATTTCCTGGAATTGGATCTATGGATGGCTGTTAGCTGCCATATGGGTGCTGAGAACTGAACCAGGCCCTCTGCAAGAGCAGTCAGTGCCCTTAACAGCTTGAGCCATTTCTCCAGCCCTATTACATTTTTAATGTATCCCCCGATGTCTCTCAGCGC